TTTGTTAATAAAAAATACAAAAAAGCTTTAAATAAATATTAAGTAAAATTAATGATAAAGTAGAAAGTAAAAGCAATTAAAATAAATAACAGCACGAGGCACCACAGAATTATAAACGAGTATTAAATTATCGCAATCTTCAGTTCAGTGTTTTTATCTCCTGTCCGTCTTTTCATTGTTTTGTGTGGACTGCAGGTCGGTGTATTAATTTCTTCTCCATTTAGTAGAATCGTCTTAAGAACAATAAATAACACGAAGCAAAAAAAAAAAAACAAAAACAATTACATTCGAATGATTTTACTGTTTCTGTTGAAGAAATCTCTATTTTCAGTAGGTTCGACGTCTCGGCTTTTCGACTATCTTGGCAGTCTACATGCAGCAGTGAACGCACATTGACTCTATTGTGTACTTGATATTTAAAATGTGAAAATGTGAAAATGTGAAAAACTTAGTAGCAAGACGACGGACACCTATTTGAAGTTTTCTGAAACATTATTTAAAATGCGTGTCTTCCGGGCGAGATAAAAACAAATAAAAAAAAATGTGATATTACACTTGTCTAACGGTGTTCATAGAGTACAAACTCAGCTCTTAATTATTGTGCGAATTAAGATCACTTATCTCAAAATATAATTCAAAAAAAATGTATTTATGTGTTCATCTACGAGTTTTATTTGTAAAAGCGACTTAAAATAAATATTTATAATTCATGTAACATTCACTGTACTGTGCCTCTTATTATGTCAGATATAAATAAGACCTCAAATATTAACACAATAAGGTAATCCAAATAAAAACAATAAAAATAGTGTTTATAATCTCATATTTGAAGAGTATGTGATAAATGCTAGAAAAATAATGATGAACAACTTCACTATAGTAATCCAATAATAATAACATACACAACATTAAATTGTTTATCTCTGGCATATAACAGAATATTTATATGAATATAATTTTGAATTCTAATGTGTGTATATATATTTTGCTTAATATATTATTTATAACTCGTTAATATTAAATCTTTAATTATTAATATTCATTTACTTACAAGTTTCATAAGTCAGCAGTTAGAGTATTCTATTATAAAAGAAAGCAAGCAAATGTAATGAGAATTATAAAATTATTTTTATGTGAAATGTATTAATAATAATTTTAACACCAAATAATTTAATTAATTTAAATAATACAAACCTATAATATATTATCATTAATACATATATGTATAGCATAAATGAAGGCACTAATATTTAAACCAACCTATCTCTGAAAGGAACACAACAAATGTATATTTAAGCGATATAGTAGCTAAACCTTTTCCAATTCATATATTTAACTATACATTATACTATTGAAATTGACTAAACCGTTATTATGTAGACAAGTATTCATTTATAAACATATACTATGTGTATATAAGCATATTTACGTGTAGCTCTAATTGGGATTAATGGTTCCAACCTTAGTGTGTTGTACCTATTTCAAAAATTAAATTATTTCATTTATTTATTAACTTGATAAATCAACATTAAAAAAAAACCAGAAGACACAATCCATTTTTCTCATTTATACAATTACTTAAATCTGAAATATTAACTAAAACTTATCAAATAAAATTATCTAAAATACAATGTTACCACTTAATCCTTAGAAATTGTTACAATATGGATTAAAAATTTATAGTAAAAACTTCGAAAATGCTTACTGTTAATAATATAGTTCAAAAAATGATCTCTAAAGATCACTAAAGTGCTTGGTTTAATTTAAGATTCATTGCATATGAAGACGTTGACTATTTAAAATATATTAAAAGACTTAATCACATAATCTATATATTTCATAAATCTAACAGTAAGATAGTAGGAAGATAAAATGTAGAGAAATAAAATTGAGTTAATATTATTAAAATTATAATTAGATATTTCTGAATAACTCCATTTTTATTAAAATAGAGGTTAACATCATTGATCAACAATACAATATATTTGGTTCAAAATTTCTTTCTTCTCTGTCAATTGCAAAACCTTGTAAAAGTAATAAGTTAAATATTTCGCTTTGATAATCGATTTCGGATTCATCTTAAAATATAATAAAAATATGTTGTCTAATGTGTGTTCAGATTTGTATTTACTAATGAACTTTAAATTCAAGTATACTAGTAATTGCCGTACGCTTATAGTAAACAAGAAAATGTTATATGAAATAATATAAATATCTAAATAATGAAGTACTACTATATACATATATATATGTATATCATAATTTTATAGTTGTATTAAGAAACTATTGGTCTTATGTTGAGGTTTTTCCGAAAACTATCCGTTTTACTCTTTCTTAGCTAATGGGTTTCTATAGAGTCCTTCCTTTTAATTTATATATTCCTCACAAGCTTCGCTGATTATTCGATCACTGATTGAAGATCTGCATACCGCCCCGTACGGCTAGTAACTGCTCAAAAATTAGATAGTGCTATGTAGGGCAGCCTGTCAGTTTTTACGTATAGCTTCAGGGCTCTGGCCATTATGTATTTTAACCGAGTCTATTCTCATGTACCATGACTATTGGTATTGCTTTATATATTTATCATCAGGTCATAACTTATGACATGACCACAAGTTATGGATACAATCTGATAACTTCTAGTTTACCAAAAATGTTAAGCCCAACGATATAAGCTCTATACTCTCTGTTAGCTGTGTTTTTGGATCAAACAATTGTCCTCTATCGTCAAGTTGAAATAGCCTGAGGAGATTGAACATTTTTCTGTCTACCCAAATCAATTGAATTCAGATGATATACATTATCAAATAGCATCTTCGTCAGAGAAGTATTTTTTTAATCACCTCTTTAACACTAAAGATCATTGAAGAAATCAATCTGATCTAAACTTTTGTAATGAAATGATTAAAATGTGCCTAAATAACAAAATTTAAATACAATATATTTTATTTGAACTATATACTATATTACTATATACTATTATATATATTCTACTACATTACTTGTAATTAACTATACCATTTCAATTTTTACTATATTGATTTGCCTATAATGAATTTCAAATACACATTTATAAAAATTCTACATTTTTATCTTAAAATTGTATTTAATCTTAAAAATTAATCAATACCATTTTTTTTTGTTTGCTTTCTTAAATTTAGCGATCCTTCACTTTATGATACATTAAAAAATTGTGCAAATCTTCAATCGTATGAAAGTCTAACCATTGAAGACTACAACGACGTCTATGCACCGAATATATATGATTATAACAAAATGATTTCTATCAATTCATCATATTCAACAAGTGGAAATTTATCTTCGACCGGCAGTTACAACAGTGAGGATTCAGTTGGAGATAATATACTTGAGGAAAACGGTAGAATATCGTTAGCATATGAAAATCTACGTACAATACCACGACGCATTGCCGCCAAATTTACCGTTTGCAAGTGTCTTGATCTTAGCTATAACAATTTCGAAAATCTTTCATTTCTCACATTTTTTGAAGACCTACATACTTTAATTCTGGACCGAAACTATAATCTAAATGTTAATACATTACCATTTTTAGCAAACTTAAAAATATTTTGGTAATGCTAATTTAAGCAAGTTATATATGTAATCAGTAATATTGTTATTATCTTTACAGGATTAATAATTGTAATATCAAAAACCTCGCTGATTGGATACAAAGAATACGTATGCAATGCCCTAATTTGGAACATCTCTCTGTTATGGGCAATCCGGGTACTAATGGCTTATTCAAATATTCTGCACTGACAATAGATTCTTCCTTAACAGATCCGCTTTTACCAACCACTTATGTCAGTAATTATCAAGATTATGTACAACTTGTACTGCCCAATCTCCAGTATTTAGATGGAGTTTCGCTAAATGTCTCAACTAAAGAAATATGTAAAACAATTGCCAACCATGATAACATCACAACTCCATCTCGTTCAGCGAGCAAAAGTGGTACAGGCAACAGCACGAATAGCAACAGCTGCATTTCAGATAATAAAATACAGCCTAGTAACCATAAGTCTTCTCCTACGCTCAGTTTCTTCTTTCGTTTACGAAAAAGAAAGAAGTCATACACGAGCTCTTCAACAAACTGATTATAAATTTAATAATGGAATTTTACAACCATAACCCTTAAGTTGATAAATATATATTTTTGTTCAGTTGTTATATTGAATGTGTCTTTTAAAGAAACTTATCAGTTCACTATTGCTTTTGAGAGCACTGTGGTGCAATGTACGCCAATATATAATATAACCTACCAATATATGGTTTTTACGGTATTTAATCATACAATTCAGTTTTTTTCCATTATATAATATATATTTACTTATTTACTTTTTGCATTTTTTACAATTGTAAGAGACAAATTATATAGGCATAAATTCAAATCGTTTATGTAATTTAATTAATTTTATATATAATATATCGAAAAAATGTGATCAACTTATTTGAAAATTCTTAACCATTCTTATTTTAAATCTATAATTGAAAAATATGTGTATAAAATGCTAATGTTTTGCTATGTTAAATTTAAATAAAATTAATTTCTTTTGTCAAATGCTAAGTAACTACATATTTTTATTTTAAAATACATTAATTAATAGAAAAGGAGTAGTTAATATCAAAACAGAATACACAAGAGGTTCAAACACAATTTCTATTATCATTTTCAACTGTAAATAAATTGAATTAAAAGTATGCAAGATTCATAAAATAAATTTAATATTTTACAATACAAATAACAAAAATTTTAAGCAAAATACAATTAATATTAAAAGTTAGTAACTTAAATATATTTATCTTAATTGTATATAAATTAATATAGCTGTCTATTTAGAAACAATTTTTTTTAACTGACTTGAAACATTTATATATAAAGGAAAAAATTATTAAAATTTTTCAATTTTTCGCAAACTCAAAAAAGTTTTAATTTTTGTTTGAGTTAAAATTCATTTATTGCACGGATTTATATAAACAATTACATAAAGAAATTATATTGATATTATTTTGGAATTTGCATTATTAAATCTTACTTTTGAATTTTAGCAAATTATTTGTGAAGCGCATTGGAATGAAAATCTAAATTTTTTGCTGACACCAAACCAATTACGAAAATTATAATAAATAAAAATCCCGATAAGAAACTAAATTGATGCCTTAAATTTTTTATGGAAAATAAACATTTTTAAAGGAATACGAATACATATATGTTTACGCATGATTCAAACCCTATCCACTAACCACCAGTTTTGTCCCCTGTCAGTTTGACTTAATTTCCAAATTTCCAAGTGCTGTATCTAACGCAGCGATTAATTTAGCATTTTTCTTAATTGTAGAATGTTCTTCAGTACGTGCAGTTGCTTTTTCTAGAGCCCATTGACCGATTTTTTGTGCTTCTTTACGTTTCGAACCTAAGACTCTGGAGTTGGAAATGGCGTTACAGCACTAGACAAAATAAAACAATTTAATTTACAGTAAAGACACATTTACAGGAAAGTAATTGTTACTTTATACTTACCAGGTAAATGCCATATAACGCCCGCAAGTTATTGGGATTCAGTTTCACGGCTTGCGAATAATAGACTCTGGCAGTTTCAATATTTTCAATGCCACCCTATATTAAAGTAAAATTTAATGAAAAATTTCAAGTTTAACGATTGCAATACAAACCATGGTGTAACGAATTTCAGCGATACGTTGATTGATTAAATGACTATGAGGGTTATGCAACAGCATTTCCTCCATGCAAAATAATGCTTTTCCATAATCAGCTTCAGCAAGATACAAGCTACTGAGATCATGCCAAGCTTCTTGATCAGACATGAATCTAGATTGAGATATAAATAAATTTTTTTATAAATAATATTATTAAATATTTCTACAATAATAAGATATTCCATATTTGGTAAATGATTTTAAATAGTAAAATAGTACTACAATAAAATTATGCTCGATATGACTGAGCAAAATTTGAAATGTTTTGCTGCGATAACCTAACAATCGTTTAATATAATATTTAGGTAACTAATAGAGTAATTTAAGTTCTACACAAATGTTATGGAAAATTGAAATATTATCAGTGCCACACATTTATTTTATTGGCTTTAATTTTGTAACATACTTTTTTAAGTACTCCGTAAGTTCCTTTATAGCTTCACCACGTTTTCCTCTGGCTTTTAGTATAGCAATTTTTCTTTTACGTGGCGCAGCGCATGTTTCATCCTTAGCAATAATAGCATCAAGAACATCAGCGGCTTCATCGAAACGTTCCAAAGCTTCTAAACGCATTGCTTTAAATTTCATAACACGCATACTCCCTGGAAATTCCACACTTAGTTCTTTAATACATTTGGTTGCAATATCGAAGCGGCTTGTGTCGAAAGCTGCCATAATGACTTGTTCTAATATCAGGTGACGTTCATTTCCAGTCTTCTGGACTCGATCTTCTAAAATACCCTCCCAAAGAAGAATCACTTCGTCACTTTTTCGTTCGTTATTTTCACGCCATTTTCTAAACTGATCACGGACATCTATAATATAAACGAATTACATTTTTATGAATTTAATTAGATTGGTTGAAAATAATTTCTATATTTATATATATCTCACTTTTTGAGGTACGACTAAATTAAACATAATTTATTTATTTCCCATCTTACCTGACCAGGACATATCTTCAAAATTACTCAACATTTTTAATATATTATTAATACTATTGTTTTCAATTTTAAATGCACATAAATTTAATTTTCTGCTTAAACTTTAATTAGGAAACATGAAATTGGGTTAATAAGCACGATAGAATTATTCTACTTATGAAAAGCGTCAGCTGAAAAATATGTCAATTGTTAAGACAGGGCAGCTATTTTGCTTGATAGCCCAGGAGAAAAAAATGTTTTCTTTATGTATATGCATATTTTTCATTAATTTGAAAAATATTTAATATTCTTAAATATTTTTAACTTTATACATATGTATATATATATATATATAAAGACAAACTTCCATAACACGAAGCACCATTTTGCAAAGAAAAGGTTCGACTTATGAAGAGTAAAAGATTTTTTTTATAATTGTATGAAATATGCTCTCTAAACTCTGTTGCACTCTATTTAGTTCGAGTTATTCAAATCATCCACGAGGTGCTCGTAGTATAACTCAAGTAAAGTACAAACTGAGAGCATAACACAAATAAAGTGCCAAATTTAGTTCTTTACACAGATTTTCTTGAAACATCTTTGTGTAAAGTCTGGTGAGAAAATAAACAATGCAAAAATTTAAATTCAAGCAAAAACAACAGATTCACACATCACACAAATTTTACTTAAAATAAAATGTACGAGTAAAGTTTGTGGAGCATTTTCAAATTTCAACAGGGATGTTACGCTCTCTCAGATGGTCTCATTTACTCGAAAATTTGCTGGTGGGACACATTTGTGTATACACAGTGTTACTCAAAGTTACTACGAGTAGATCGTGGAACAGACCTAATATTGCTGCCACCGTATGTGTTTTTATTTTTTATTAAGAGTTTCTACATCCAAAAAATTATTGAAAATAGTGGTTGTTCACCATTTTGTATGGAGAAAATGCTGTTACTTCTAAAAATGTTGTGTTAAACTTTTCATAACTTTATAGTCAAGACATTTTGGAAATGTTGCCTAACGTTGAACTTGAAAATTTAAAATTTAATTTCGAATTTTACAATATTTTCATATTAATTTTTTCTAAATATGCAATGTAATTCTGTTTTTGTTCAATAGTTTTTACATAAAACTCGTAAATAAATATGACAACATTTATATTATGCCTCTAAAGTTTCTGGACACATTTATTTTATAATGAAGTTTAATGAATTTGAAAACTCTTAACCAAAAATAATAAATAAATGCAATAAATAAATATTTATATAATATATATGCAAAAAATCCCTAGGAAATTTCAATTTACTCAAACTCGTACACAGCCGTAGTAAAAATATATGTTTTTCTTAGTTTATTTTAAGTTTTTATTATAGTATAGCATGTATACACTTTGTATATATATAATTATATAAATTTATTTATTATACAAAAAATTTAACTCATTGTAAAAATACAAATTAAGAGATTAAACGTAAATGTACGCATTTTAACACAATATATTCATTATACAAAAAATTTAATTCATTTATATATATATGAATTAAAAATTCATAATTTAAAATATATGCAATAGTCATAACAAAGCAAATTATTTTTCTAACATCCTGTACATAAAAGTAATCGATATTTTCGATAACATCTCTACAATAACTTCTTGCCATCTCTTGTTTGGCAATGTTTTCCCGCCAATTCGCAGCAACCAAACACATTGGTGCGACAATTCTTGAAGTTTATATTTTGGAATTAAATAACGTATAATATATTACTATTAGTTAAAAATGACAGAGGCAGAACAATATATAAGAGATATTCAGCGGGAGTATTTGGATTTTCTCGATGATGAAGAAGACCAAGGAATATATGCTGGCTATGTGAAAGAGATGATATCCGAAAAAAGTCGAAGGCTTATTGTCAATGTTAACGATTTAAAGCGAAAAAATCCGCAAAGAGCACAGGGGTTGCTGAATAATGCATCCGATGAACAATTAGCATTTGGACGCGCTCTTAAAGAATACGTTTCTACTGTGGATCCGTCGTTAGCTAAACAACATGAAGATTTTTTTGTGGGGTTCGAAGGCTGTTTTGGTAACAGGCACGTAACGCCTCGATCTTTGACATCAATGTAAATTATATAAATATTAATATTATGTACATTTTAATATATATTTTTAAATTTTAATAGTTACATTGGGAACTTAGTATGTGTTGAAGGCATAGTAACCAAAGTATCGCTCATACACCCAAAGGTGGTGCGCAGCGTTCATTATTGCCCCGCAACTAAAAAAGTCTTAGAACGTAAATATACTGATCTTACATCATTTGAAGCAGTTCCATCCACTGCTGTGTACCCAACTAAAGATGAAGATGGAAATTTATTGGAAACCGAATTCGGACTATCCGTTTACAAAGATCATCAGACATTGACCATACAAGAAATGCCAGAGAAAGCCCCAGCTGGTCAATTGCCACGATCTGTTGATATTATATGTGATGATGATCTAGTTGATCGTTGTAAGCCAGGCGATCGTGTACAAATAGTGGGCAATTATCGTTGCTTGCCGGGTAAGCAAGGTGGATATACTTCAGGGACTTTTCGTACAGTTTTATTGGCTAACAACATATCACTCTTGAGCAAGGAAAGTAACTTGGATATAACACATGAAGATATCATATTGTGTAAGAGATTAGCAAAAAATAATGATATATTTGAATTATTATCAAAGAGCTTGGCACCTTCAATACATGGGCATACCTATGTAAAACAAGCAATATTGTGTTTATTACTTGGAGGTGTTGAGAAAGTTTTACCGAATGGTACACGTTTGCGTGGAGATGTAAATATTTTACTAATTGGTGATCCTAGTGTAGCGAAATCTCAACTACTTCGATATGTACTAAATACAGCTCCACGAGCAATTCCTACGACAGGTCGTGGCTCAAGTGGTGTCGGTCTCACGGCTGCTGTAACGACAGATCAAGAGACGGGCGAACGACGTCTAGAGGCAGGTGCTATGGTACTAGCTGATCGAGGTGTAGTTTGTATTGATGAATTTGACAAAATGAGCGATATTGATCGTACAGCTATACATGAAGTAATGGAACAGGGTCGCGTAACAATATCTAAAGCCGGTATTCACGCATCATTAAATGCTCGCTGCTCAGTACTGGCAGCAGCTAATCCTGTTTATGGAAGAGTGAGTTTTTATATTTTTTAATTTATGTATTAATTTTATTTATATTATGTTTACTTTTAGTACGATCAATATAAAACACCAATGGAAAATATTGGATTGCAGGATTCTCTTCTATCTCGTTTTGATTTACTGTTTGTTATGTTGGATGTTATTGACAGTGATATCGACCAAATGATATCAGATCATGTTGTTCGTATGCACAGATATAGGTAAGTTTGAGTATAGTCTTTAAAATTTTTAATAAGTGAAATAGTTTAGAATATATTATTAATTTTTTTTAAATAATCCAAACAGAAATCCCAAAGAAACTGACGGAGAACCACTGTCAATGGGTAGTTCATATGCTGATTCTCTATCGTTTGCATCAAATAATGAAGAAGTAACTATTTAATATTATTTATATATTTTCATTTTATAATTATAATTATTTTTATTAGAAAAAAAATGCAGAAATTTATGAAAAATACGACGCTCTCTTGCATGGTAAATCTAGAAAACGTCATGAAAAAATCTTATCAGTCGATTTTATGAGAAAATATATTCATATTGCAAAATGTATGAAACCGAAACTAACTGAAGAAGCAAGCGAAGTTATTTCAAACGAGTACTCACGTTTACGTTCCCAAGAGAGTGTGCAATCTGATGTCGCACGAACTCAACCTGTAACTGCTCGTACACTTGAAACACTTATACGTTTGTCAACAGCACATGCCCGTGCTCGACTATCTAAAAATGTAACAACTGATGATGCAGTAGCTGCAATTGAGTTGGTACAGTTCGCTTATTTCAAAAAAGTGCTTGGAAAAGATAAAGGCCATAAACGACGTCGCAATGGCGAAACATCCGAAGAAGAAGAAGACGAAGTAACACCGAGATCGCCATCTCGACGTACCAAACGAACTCGTACAGAACGTACTGATGCATCTGGAACTACATATGATACCGAAGATGAGATAGAAACACCACAACCTGATGCTGGAGATCTCACACTCCGCGATACTAGAAGATCTATAACATCTAGTCGAACTACACGTGCCGGTCGTTCTGCAACTCAATCTAGCACAGATAATTCCAGTGGACAGAATGGTGCAGCAGAACCTGCTACTATAACAGACGCGCGCCTAGGTATTTTCAAGAATAGCCTTCATAAAGTATTTAGGGAGGCTCGCGAGCAAAGTTTGTCATTAACACGCATTACTGAGGCAATTAATAAAAATAATGATGAACAATTCTCTGATGGAGAAATTGAAGCAGCAGTACATCGAATGACAGAAGATAACCAAATAATGGTTGCCGATGGAATTGTATTTTTAATATAATTTTTAACTTATTAATTTATAGATTAAGTTTGTCATGTTTTCTTCTTTCCTATTTTATGCCTTTAATAAAAATTTATTATGTTATTGATAAATATATATGTTATTATTATTACACTAAATATATGACATCTGTTTGGTGCAATTATTTAGTTTTAGATAAATTGTGTAAATGATTGCTACTTATAATAAGTCGGCGACAAAACTAAGGATAGCACTAACTAAAAATTGTTAAATAACGACTTTTAGAATGATTAATGAAAAGAACTATAGTGCGAACTTTATTACATGCCGTAGTAATCTTCATATCGAGGATATATATACAAATATTTCGACCGAAAAATAATTGTTTCCAATTTGTTAGTCCGAAAATACATTTTGACGTCTCTAGGAAGCAAGAAACCTGAACATTAGACAATATCACTTTTTTTTTAATTTAATAAATCCACTAATGAGGCAAGGTCTAACTTAAGTGATTCGTAGTTAGCTATCATCGATGAAGTAAAGTTTCTAAGCTTTGAAAAGGGTGTAATCATCTTATATCCATTCCCTTTCCTTCCAACCTTAATTTGTATACCACCCTATTTTAAATTATATTATTTGCACATATGTTTTCGCTTCCAACTATTGCAAAGTTACCAACATTATAGATGAAGTACACTTTTTGTTTGTTAAACCCGGTTTGTGGATTAAACTATTTTAAAACAAATCACAGCAAATTTTTATTTCTTTGTTCATAAAACTTTTACAGCAAATTAATAAAACTCTAGAAAAATGTGCATACATAAAAGTCAACTATGGCTTTGAACCAGATAGTTTAGGAGAGCTGACTCTGAGCTTTAAATTTGGCAGGGCTCGAGTTCAATCCCCTGTACTTGTAGTCTCAAAAATTATTTAAGAGTAATTAAATTTAAGACATCATTACAAGACCACTGATGACAGGTATTTGGCAATACTCGAAACAGCTGTATGATCAGTAAAACTTTCAATTAATTAAAATGATATAATAGAATTGTTTGTTGTTGTAGTTCACTATTTATCGAAACCTCTTTAAAATAAATCATTTAAAAAACAAAACTATATTTTAATATATTTATTTAATTCATTTAATAAAAAAAAGGATTTGAAAAAATATTTAAAAAAAGTTTATATGCAAAAATGTATTAATGTTTATATTTATGTGTAAGTTTTAGATTGGTCATGTTGTTTCCATTTGTTCAGATTTATTTGTGGAATATCGCTACAGCTCTTTAACATATTCCTGAAGAAATCGATATTCAATTAATATGTTTAGTTCTTTATTAAACAAATAGAATTTACCTTCGATTTGGGAAAATAAATGCATTTGGCTGTATTGAAAGCAGATAATCAGCATTATTACAGAAGAGTCCCGAAAGACTAGACTTGCGTATCTCAGCCAGTTGACCTGTTATTCAATTAAAGGACCCATTGTAACATTTGTTTATATGTAGCATCAAAATTAACTTACATCTTGTAAATCCACTATATTGATTTTCGTGTTCAAAAAAGAATCGATCGGCTGTTCTAGTCTTGCCAAATTGCTTGGCGACAACACATTGAAATGTTGGTCCGAAAACTGATTGTTGCACTGTTTTCTCTAATGATCCACCAACTACAAGATCCACATCATCTGGAGAATTGTATAAACTCTTCAGCAAAGCAATTTTCTATATAAGAATTATGAATTATTATTAATCAATATTAAGTAATTCAGTAATATATAGTTACAGATGCAGGTATCTCATTCGAAAATCCAGGCCAATCATAAGCACGTGGTAGTCCACAGTAATGACGAACATCATTATAAGAGGCGCAACCAAAATCTCGTGAACGCTGTATATCGACTGCTTTTAAGTCTTTTCCGTATTCTTCGTTTGCCTTACGGCCGAAATGATGTTTAATCTAACATAATGTTAACATATATAATGTATTGAATATTATATTTAAAAATATATACATATTATGAATTATATGAGGATTTCAGTACTTACCTCTTTATCAACATGACTGCTACTTTCTTTCTGAAATTGTGTGCATAAACCACGTACAAGCGAGTCAAAATTATCACCATGGGATATAAAGTTGATATTTTCTGGACGATTAATATAATCACTTAAACGCATAGTTTCATTATAATGCCTACTTGGTCCAACCAAGCTGTGGAATAAACAATTTTTAATCAAAGAATCTGAAATTGTTAATCTCTTAAAGCCTTACGAGAACCATCCGGGAATTTGGTTATGCGAATATCTGAAAGCAGCTGATGAGAATTCAACTAGTGGAGCTGGATTTACAGAGGGATTATAGTCATTGACATAATCATGTGGATGTACGTAATACACTAAATTATTATCAAGAGAATATGACTGTCCTAGAATTAGTGGTAACCAGTGATAATAGGCTATGTGTTGGTATTGCGCAATATTAATTTTTCTTGCTTCCTGGAAGAGCCGTTCATCATCGTAATGTGGATTCAAAAGTGCTAAAGCATTGGCAATCCTATTGTGTTCTCGGAGAAATATAACATGCATCACAATTATGGTAGGAATTTCTTGGTTTCTTTTATCAGGAATGTTGTAACATTGACTCATATCTTTTCCACATTCACTACCATGACTCAATGGAGGATATTCACGATTATTCAATACACTTGTCTTAAGTAATCCACCTATAAATTGGCGAACTTTTCTATTTTCTTCTTTTGAGCTACCATACAATGGTGAAAGATCCAGGAAGGCAGTTGTAACTGTTATTTTTTCGGAATAAGGGTGATAACTTTTTGGACAAGTGGATTCCGCATCAGAAACTGCACGAACAAAACTAAGACATTTTTTCCCAGATTGTGAATAAATGGGACCATTCGGAAGAAGGTTTATAGGATAACATAAACTATGTCCAGTATTCGAACAGCAATCATCTATTAAAAAACACAAACTTCATTTATATTCAATATTTAAAGTTAATAAGTGTGTATACCAATATCTGGATTTTTAGTGAAATGACTCATATCATGTGCAATAACTTGCCCGAATTGCATCAGGGCCATTGTACGAAAATAATCAGGTTTAGTCTGTTCGCCAAACATTGATAATGATAACAAACGTGCATTTGGCAGTTGAGAGCCTGAAACAGATTCTGTCGGAGAGTAATTACCATCGCCATATCTCGGTATTAATAACCGTGAATATCTTAAATAGAAAAACATTTAATATTTCTTAACATATTTACATATTTGATATTATTTTTGAAGTACCTTGATTTGGCAATTCCATATCCTGGAACGTCTAAGTTGTTGCATGAACCGTCAAGAGAGCGATAGATATAATTTGTGGTATCATTTGTACAACTAATCGGAGGAACGGCACATTTGAATTTACCTGATGCATCTGTTGTCGCACTCTCCAGTTTTGTAGCTGCTTCCCCTGTCAATGACACCACAGATGCAGGCTGCGGTTGATAAACGTGTTTCAAATGCGCCATTGGGCTAAATGAGTTATTAAATATTAAATATTATGATATTATGGAAATATAGTTAAGTCCTCTTACCATTTCAGTTCACTTGAGGCTGTTTTACTTCCTAATAATACAATTGCAAAAAATAGTATTAATTTCTCCATTATTGCCATTATAAAGCAATGTTCTCGAAATGATATACAGACTCCAACTTTTTTTGTTTATATAGTCTTCATGATGATAAACATAATCTTACTTTATATATTTAAACTGTATTTATTAGTATAATTGCTATTTTAAATATTTTATATATTTTAAATTAATCACGTATCTCTTAGTTGAACGTTGTTGAGTTTAAAAAGCAGTTAAAATTTTAGAGTATAATTGGCCGAAATCGTATTTCCGGAAGTGATAAGCGCAATATCTCAAGAATCATGCAAAGTAGGCAAGAATATTTTTCTTTTTATCTTCGTTTGCACAGTTGTTTAAGATTAATTAATAAAACTCAATTCTTAAAAACAAAAATATTTTTTTAGACAAGTAATAATTCGGAAATTTATAGATTTTATAAAAAGTGGACTTATATCCTATACTTATTTACAGCCTCTCTTGGAAATATATTTTATAAGTAAATCAACTAAAAATACCTGAAAATACCTCTCACAGTCAGTTCTTAATATTTTGACAAGTTGTACTCCCCGAAAGACAATGAAAGTATCTTATATATTTCTTGTTGCTCATATGAAGAACTGAGACGAATTAATAAGAACAGACAGTTTGTTACTATGTAATATAGTATATTGAAATGTAAATGTAAAGTATCTGCACTTATGTAGTTAGCTTCCGGATAAAATACTTCTGCTGAAAAAGATATTTCTACGGACAAATTAACAAAATCGTGATAAGTAATTTAATAATTTACTATGAAGTTCGTTGAATATGAGAGTACGAAATGCTTAATTAATAATTTAACATGTAATTTTAATGAAAAATTAACATCAAACAACTATAAATATTTTTTTTTGTTTTATTTTTACTCTTTTTTTCAAAGATGTTCAAGAGTAGAATATTTAACAGAAACTTTTATATTTAATTAAACTTAAGATATATAATATGTTACTATATAATATGTGATATATAATATGTATTGCTTAGCCTCCGATTCAAACTGGACTTCACCCAGAAAAGACTTAAATTGTTTATATTAGCACCATTTATATTCTCACTGAACAATCAATTGAATTAAATGCAAATATGTACCTTACTTTCGTAAACTTCGAAAAATTATTCGTTATGTTTAATTGCAATCACATATGGAAGGTTGTTTAATCTATAGATAATCCAGAAAAATTATTTAAAGAAATTTAAATGAAGCAATAGTAGAGTTATCTGTAAGGTAATACATAATATCGTGCTTAAGTAATAGGGATGACAATGATATGCACTCTCACCTATCGCCACATATCGTCACACCTGTTGAATGTCATCCTTAAACCATTGATATACAACGGACTGCGATTGTCTAGGATTGATGATAATCTGGTTTCTAATACAAATAAACACAGCCTTATGTATTTCCATATTCTGACTGAATAAGAAAAATTAGGACAAAGAAGTAACAACACCAAGTCATGTATTAAATGACACTCATTATCAATTGAGATTCACGTTGAAGATATAGAAAAAATTTAATAGTTTGACAATACTGTGTCAACTAAAGAACGTAAAAAAGTTGGTATTAACAACATAAACTTATAAAAAGCAGTTATCTTAATATAAGTTATTACTACTTAAATATTAAAGAAAAGATTGAATGAAAATAATGAAAGCATCATTAGATAAATGATATGATATCCAATAGATGACATTTATTCGACTGGGACATTTGAAATATGTTAATCATGTGTGTCAAGTTTGCCATAGTAGCTCCGCCCACCCAAGAAACTTAAATTATTTGTACGTAATGGTTTTATAGACTGATTAAGAAATTATCAAAGAACAAACTAAAATCATGAGTAGCGGATAGCTACAACATGCCATTAATAACATATATTTAAAACATTATAAATATAAGTAGAGCAAAGAAGGATATTATTGTAAGAATCAATGAGGTTAGAGCTGCAGCCCTCCACCTCTACAAAATTTCGCGTACTTAATACTAACCCAAAGGCAATTCTATATGAAGAAATATGAAATATGAAGAATTACAATTGTAGGTAATCCAGTCAAATATTCAGATTTCTACAAACTAGTGTCAACGAAATATCTTGCGGATTTAGTGGCCCTAGAGAATTTTTATATCGAATCTATATAGATTTATAGATTCGGACAATTCAAACTTGATCAATAGAAGAAATTTGGAATGGTAAATGGGGCTAAATAGTGTACGTTCTCAGACAGACAATGTGGTGGCATTCGAACGATTCTAGGCAACTCAGTGCAGTGGAACCTGTGTTGGAGAACGCATATTATTTATACTCATTATTATTATTATTGTTAGAGAATGTGGCACTGCGACCGTAGGATTTATTGTGCGCCCTTCTGGGCGTAGCTTAGGTCTTTAAGCCATGTTGCGTTAATAAAAACGAGTATAGGACCTGCTTTATATACTTTTATTGCCTCTTCCGTAAGAGTATACATTCCTAGAAGCCTATTTCGTATCTGCATTACGGCAAGGCATTCTAACAGCACATGTGTGGCCGACTCCCCATTCTCTTTACAGAATCTACAGTTTGCATCCGTAGGTATACCCAGTTTTGTGTTTTAGTCTACAGTACCCTGTTAGGTTTGCTATGATGATACTAAGTTTTTCTTTTGATAGGTTCATATAATCCTGGTATCTCTTATTGTTATAGGTACCCTTAAGTGATTTGAATTGTCTTAATCCTGGTATACTATTCCAGTAATCCTTTTTATTCTGATTCTCCTTTTCTTCTTTATTTTTATGAGAGGAAGGAGCGTATATCTATACCCAAAATAGTGTCCATTTAAATTCGTAACTTAGGCTGAAGTTGGAACATAAATATCTAACAGGACAGAATCGCATCAAATACTCTAAAAAATTATTGATTTGAATCTAAACTTGTCAATATCAGAAATTAGAGAAATAAATGTATAAGAGAGATGTACTCTGCGAGTATTATGTTTTACATTCTTTAAGTAGGTAGAAATAGACAATCAATTAAAATTATTGAACAATAAATCTTTCTCAAATGTTATGGTCTTAAAAAGTTTTTGAATACGTGTATCTTCTTATATAAATAGAATATTTTATCGGAATTTTAATCATCAGTTAGCAGTTTTTATAACCAATTTATCTGTGAAAGCTTTCAATACGAGTATTTGGAAAAAAACTTAACAAATAAATTTAAATATTTATTAAATTATCCTTCTTTTATGTGGAACTTAATTGTTTTGACAAAAATTATATGTTTTATCTCTAAAACTAGATAATCCTAATCGCTTAGCAAAAATAATACGAAAAGTGTTTATTCTTAAAAATAAAATATTTTAAGATATATTATCCTATAAAGGAATGGTGCATGAGTATATATCCTCCGTTAAATAATATTTTGAAACTTTAAGTTCATTATATAATAAACTGTTATTTAAGAGTTCAAAAAATCTCATCTTTTTTTTTGCTTCATAAATTTCAAACTGTAATATATAATATATTTTACCCCTCTTAACACATGCCTTTACCAAATTTCTCTAAAGGTAACCCTCACCGTGACGGTAAAGTTTTTTTTTGAATCGGTATTTTAACTGGTTAAAATTTGTCTATTAAATCCAAAAAAAAATTATTTTTTTGACATGTTTTAATAAAGGACTTCATACCAATTTTTTTTGGTTTAGACAGCTTTCGTGCTTTTTAACTTACTTAAGAATAAATCCAAGGAAATCATATCAAAAAATATTAGCTGAATATTAACTGAAATGTAAACCAGCACAAAGTATCCTAGAACTTTTACAGAACGTTCTAATCTATAAAAGTTCGTTCTTTTACTTGCGTAAGTCAACTTATGCCAATGGAAACGACCAAATTTTAATTTTATTAACATAAATCGATTTAGCTGCAGTGTGAACATGATATAATACTTAATTAAATTTAACATTTATTTTTTAATCAAAAACATATAAAAATCAAAAACTTATAAAAAATAAACAATACTCTAACATAATTAAAAAGTCAACTTTTAAATTAAATAATTTTAAATTTTATTATTATAATTTTAAATATTTACATAACTATTTAATATAAAAAATTACCGAGAAAATTTTAAATACTATGAATGATTAATTTACAATATTTTTTTTTTAAATTTCACTTTAAATTAATAAAAGTTACAATGCTTTTAAGACTTTATTTTCCATATCCTGTTCCGCCTACAAACGGTTTCTGATCAACCCATTTTGTCAAATCTACGACGGGTAAGCTTTGGCACGGCATGACAGGATTTCTAAAATGAAAATTAATTAATTTCTCAATCAAGAAAATTATTAAAAGAATATTAATAAAATATAATAAATAAGAAATTAGCTGTTATAAATAGACTTCCAACTTTATTTGAGACCTTTTTACCAATATCCTCGTATGAGAAATTTCTCTTTTTGTGAGTCAAATTCAATTTTTAAAGTAATAACATATAAGTGTGAATTGCAGCGAGTGATAAAAAAATTTTATATATAAGTATATAAAGAAGATCAACTTACGATCCCGATACAGTCAGGAATGCACGTTGTTGCATATTTTCTATATGATTTCCATTGTCGCATAGTAAGCGTGCCATACTTGCTTTACTTATTTCTGCCAATTGTTCTGCAAATTATATATTATATAATTAATGTTAATATAATTTTATTTTAATTATTTATATTGAATTAATTTAACATGACATGTACCTGGGGTGAAACCAGTTTTCTTATCTCCGTTTTCGAAGAAGAAACGATCTCCCACACGTGTCCGGTAGAACTGTTCTGTAAGTATGCAAAGGAAAGTTGGACCAGCCAAAGCACCTTCAACATGCGATTCTAAGGAACCGCCCACTGTTAAGTCCAAATCTTCGTGACTGGCATAAAGATCTTTTAGTTTCGCAATAATCTGTTAATAAACAAATTTAAAGTACAATTTATCTTTTCTAGTATAACAAAAAAATAAAATATTTATAATAAAATATAAATAAATAAATAATATATTTATAATCCATTTGTATTACTTGACCATCGATTAAGTCGCCAAATTCATCCCAATTGCTAGCACGTTTCAGTCCGCAGAACTCTCTATAATCGTTATATGAGGCCAAACCGTGATCACGGTTACGTTGTATATCAATAGCACGTAAATCACTACCGAAGGGATTATTTCTTCTAAACAAAAAGTGTTTTATCTGCAAATATTTTTTTAATAGTTAATATAAGATTCATGAATAGATCCTAACAGTTTTTTAAGTTTAAATTTGTACCAACCTCACGATCGAAATTGATATCAGTTAATTCTTCGGGTTGTGTAGCATGACCTCTTGTAAGTGAATCAAAATTATCACCAACTTCAAGAATACCAGGACGATTAAACCAATCGCTTAGTCGCAATGAATTTGTTACAGATCTCAATTCTGATAAAAGACTACAAACAAAAAAAAAGGGTTTCAATTCAGTGAAGAACTTATGTGAACAATATCTTCATAATATTAACTTACTCTAATCTTCCTTCGATTTGTGAATGGAAATATCTGAATGCTGCTGTTGCATGTGAATTCAAAACAGATGGATCAATATTTGAATCGTAATCATTTACATAAGCTCCCGCTGGTGTTTCATATATCAAACGGTTCTTCAACATATTCTCAGTGCCAAGGAAGATTGGTAACCATTCGTAATAACTGATGTGTTGATATTGTGCAATATTTATTTTTCGTGCCTCTTGGAACAAGGTGCGATCATCGTAATGTGGGTTCAATTTTGCTAATACGTCAGCAATACGATTATGTTCTCTCAGTAGGATAGTTTGTAACATTGTTAAACCTGGATTTTGATTAACTCGAACATCACCAGCCATATAGCATACTTCATTTGGGTCAGTTGCATCACAATCACCAGTAACATTACGTGACGAAGGTAACCATTCTGCACCATTACGCTCCTCGACTATCATACGACCACGTTGGAATGCACGTATTTGACTATTTTGTTGTATCGAATTACCATATACTAATGACAAGTCCATGTAAGCTGTGACTACTGTCAGTTGTTCCGCTGGTCCTTGACTATTTGGACAATTGGCATCACGATCAGTAAGTGTACGCACAAAATTAAGACATTCTGTGCCAACTTGAGAATAAGCAGGATCATGAGGTGGAACTATTATGGCAAAACAAGTTTTATGTGCTGTATCAGCACCAACCAAACGGCCGTCATCTGTACAACAGCGGGTAGGATGTTTCTCTAAAATAAAAATATATTTTTATAAGTGTTACATATATGTATATTATAAATTTATATATTATTAATGTTAACATATAAATTATGTATTTGTAAAATTTAAGCATATTTAAATAAAAAATATAGTAATAGATTTTTATGACTTACTGGATTGTGTTCCACCAGCTTGCATACTCATATCATGTGTCATTATTTGGCCCCACTGCATATTTACCAATGTGTATTTTGGATCAGGCACATCGAGTTCTCCAAATATAACAAGTGATACCAAGCGTGCACTTGGTAGTTCATCTCCAGTTATTGAACTAGTAGGTGCTGATATTCCATCAGCATATTTGGGAGATAATAGACGACCATATCTAAAACAAAAATTTTATATTATTTAATTTTTTAGTTGTAACACATTGAAAGTAACATATAAGACAGCATAGGATAAGAAAGAAAGTCTTAATTATTCCAAAAAACATATTAACTTAATTTATTAAAATACTTTAAAAAAAAATCAACTGAATGCTAGGATATGCTATAATTTTTATATTTTAAAGCAAATATGTATCCTTCTAAATGTATTTCATTGGCTTCACTATAATCCCCTCCCGATATAGTACACTTATGCAAATGTTTTTTTTAATCCTGAAACTAATTGTGAAAGTTAGTTTTCGAAATAGTTTTTAATGGTAACGATCAATTGAATCATAGTGATTCGATTCGTGTTGCTCTCCTTATATTAAAGCTTAAATAGATTTTGAATATATGTTGATGTCTTTTTTTTATATGAAAGCTTGCTTATACTACAAATATTTGTTTTATTATTTATTAAATTAATTTTTGACGTCCGTCTTGTTGAAAGACTCTTCATTTTTGTGGAGTTTTTGATTGGTAAAACTGGGGTAACTTTTTTTAATCGAGATTCACTTTTAGTGCAATTTTCATTTTCAATTGTGAAATTTGTGTATTACTCGAGATTAATTGATAACACTCGAGATTAAATAATAACACTCTAGATATTTTACCAGAGTAGCAAGATTTCCCCTAAATTAACTGTTTTATATGGTTTGACTAATAAAGTGTGATTTGAATCGATATATGTTATGTGTTTATTAAAAATGTAAATGTCCACTAACACTATTACTCTGATTACTCTAAAAATGTTTAATTGGACAACAAAATTTGTCGGATCAAGAGTAAATCTAGATTAAATTCAGATTCAACAATAGAAAACACCATTAATATAAACTATTGTTTTCAAAAGAGAGGTATTTTGAACAGTAGTAAATTACAACAATTAATTTTTTATTAATTAATTAAACCAAAAAATCAAATCAATAAAATAATAAATAAAACTTTCACAGCAAAGTAACAAAACTCCAGAAAAATGTGCGAATATAAAATTCAAATACGGCTTTGGGTCAGTTGGTTAAGGTGGGCTAACTCTGAGCTTGAAATTTGGCAGGGCACGAGTTCAATTCCTTGTACTTGCAGACTCAAAAAATTATTTACATATTCCAACACCACAAATGATGGATATTTGGCAATACTCAAAACAGCTGTATGATCAGTCAATCTTTCAATTATTTAAAATAATATAAAATGAATTTTTAATGTCGAAAAACATCATCAATTAATAAAATAAAATAATAAAATTTTATTATTTATGGTAAATGTAATTTTTTAATGTAATGATTTTTGTAGATATATTATAAAATATATTAATAAAATAACAAACCTAGAATTAGCAATTCCAAGTTGTGGATTTTCCAAATGATTACATGAGCCATCTAAGCTACGATATGCAGTCTTTTGACAAATAGCTGGTGCAGCAGCACAAGTGGCAGCACCAGGTCTTGGAAAATGTAAACCATAACCAGGATTTGAGTTTCCTAATCCTGTGAAAGGATTGCCATTTCTGTTTGATGTGGATGGTCCATGCCAATTTGGACTTCCATGCAAAAATCTGAATCCATGATATGCGTTTGAGCCAGGGTGATCATGTACAATATTATAACCGGATGAGGAATATTTTTGTGCCAAAGTGTAGGTAACCGTTGAGACAACTAAAATGAAAATATTCAATTTCCACACCATCTGAAAGTAAATAAAAAAATCTAGTTTTAGATTAATATGCACATGTAAAAAAACAAAAATATAATTATTTTTGGTCATATCTATTTCATGAGTACCGGTCGCAGCAGTTAAGCAACAAGGCGTTTTAAATATTGTTAGCACTTAATAGAGCAGAAATGTAGTATTTAAATTTGGTCAATAATAAATAATTTATGAACTAAACTGAGACTCAATAAATTTTTCGTAGATTTGATTTTGTATCTGAGTTACTTTAGTTGAATTTAAAAAAAAATTGTTAATAAATTCCATTAACTTAAGACAACTCAGTGGACACATGTGCAATGCCTCTGTTGAGTGTCCAAACTTTACTGATGCCGCTACTTTTATTAATTCATTAAAATGAATTTGTTTCATTCGGCGCAATGTATATGGTGCAATGAGATTCCTTTTAGAGTATAAGATATAAAAGTTGAACTCCATTGGAATTCTGACCCCATTGTGCGCTTTTAATTTCGTTGTGATGGCTAACAATGTGCCATGTAATAAAATCTTTCTGCAACTTATCTCAACTTGTTGCCTATCTCTGCCTCCTCGTCGGTGGACTGCTGTCCACTGATGGCAGTGTGCTATACATACACTTGGATTAGCAGTTCCAATTTCGTAACGTGTTTGCTGTAAACTTCACACATATTCTCAAAATATTGGAATAGTTTTTTATTTTACTCAAATAAATCGATTGCCTTTATATATTTCTGGCATTACGGCATGTCCAATGATTTACGATAGTGAATTTGCATTTTGTTGATTTCAAATTTATTGCGACATATGTACGACATATGTATGTATATTCTATAAACAAAGCTATGTGTTCGTTATTGACCAATGCGAATTGCTAACTGGACGATCTTGACAAGGTATTTACCTGTAGAACTACTTATATATAATAAACCTAGTTTACTTTTTTACTTTTCAGTTGCTAAATTATGATTTAAGCGTTGTATTAAAATTACTTCATAGTTCATTTAGTGGTCCACCTATGCGTGACCGTATCCATTCCAATTCCTACGACTATTTACTGTAATTCAGAATAATTTAATTTGTATGCGTAGCTGCAGATATGCGGAGTTAAACGATAAATAATTTTTAATTCATACTAAATACTTAACAAGAGCAATTATTAATTAAGTTTAGTTTTATTACAGCTGAAGTTGTTTTAGTTATTCGAGTTTCGCTTAAAATGGTCTTTTAAATATTTCAGATTTACTGATATACATACTATCTTTGAGATTTAAATCGATTTAATTGCCCAAAATCTCAAATAAATCTGTGAAAAATTTAATATGTTTCAATAGTTTACAAAAAACTATACACACATTATTTGTTAAAAATATATTAACTATTAAATGAAGTCACATTTTTCTTTTCAAAAAAATAAATTAATAAAAAAAATTATTTATTATGGTATCACAACGTTTATTATACCCTAATTTAATAATTAAGAAAAATATTTTTTTAATTATTTTCGAAACATGTTTGGTTGCAATTTTTAATTTGTATGATATATGAATAGAAAATGTTAATAATAAAATACTTATTTATTTATTTATTACGAGTTAAGACTATTAAAAATTAGAAATATGTGAGAAATAGTTGTTAGCTGCCAGTCTGTTAATATTTTTAAAACATAATTGAAACTTTATAGTATTAAATAGTATTAAAATTTAAAATAGAAAATAAAAATATAATTAATTAATTTAATTATTCTACAGCTGTTTTATGATATCGTTCTAATATATAACACAGCAAGTGAGGTTGTTAATAAACTTTCACACCAAATTAACAAAAATCCAGAAAAAAGTGCGAACATAAAAGTTAAGTACGGTTTTGGGTCAGTTAGCTAATGAGTGCTGACTCTGAGCTTTAAATTTGGCAGGAAACAAGTTCAATCCTTGGTACTTGCAGTCTCAAAAAATTATTTACAAATAATTAAATACAAGAAATAATTCAAAGACCACTGATGATGGGTATTTGGCAATACTCGAAACAGCTGTATGGTCAGGCAAAAATTCAATTAATTAAAATAATATAAAAAAGAATTTTTATTGTTGTAGTTTACTACTTTTTGAAATCTCATTAACAATAAAGTGAAATACTGAGTTTCACTTTATTGTGAATGCACATAAAATATTATTAATAATGCTAAATAATAAATAATAATTAATAATGCCATTGTCCAATTTTTCGACATCACTCAATCTAAACTATACTAAACGAATCGTACAGTTAAGCACCCTCAATTGCTATTCAGTAAGAATCCATTTGTCGATTAAATAGCAACGCTGACATTCTAGACAACCACCAAGAAAAGGTGTCCATTCGTCTCATTTCTTACAAAAGAACATCTTCCCCAAACAGATTTTGGATAAAATTCCTTGAGAACGTCCTTGTGAGATATCTGGATATGCGTTACTGTCTTAATAAGATATAGTTGTGGTGTGTCCCTGTCTGAAAGTGAATATAAACTACTAACCAAGAAGTAAAAATTGTTGACTTTATAGTTAATTAGGTATTTCTTAATGAAATAAATAAATTCATGAGATACGCGTAGAAAGTACCCTTTACGTTTAGGGAATTATCGCTGTAAACAAGGTATTTTAAAGTTGCATTGCCCTACTTTACTGATAGCCTATACAAATTTTCTATTTTATTTTATTTTATTTTATTTAATTTTAAAAACTCTTATTAACTCTGATTAAAATACAATTCTTAATTCATGTGGTTACAATTTACAAATACAGAATTACAAATTGCACATACTTGGGATCATTTATGTACCCTTTCCGTAGTCTATAAAATTTTATAATATATTAGGAAGTATAAAATAATAATTTCGAAAATCACAAAAATCATATAAAAATTATATACCATATACTGCTAAATCCTCTTTGTAATGGAAGTAGAAGATTTTGTTTATTTTTCAAAATAACAAGTTTTCGTATTTAAATGTCCACTTAAATTTAAACAGAAGAATATATTGAGAGTTACAATATGACAATGTCTTCGCATCACACACACATCTATCTTCCTTACTTATAATATATAGTAAAGAAATATAATATAATTTGATTTGTCTTTATTGTTCTTTGCTTGATAAAATGCCAGTTAATGTTTATAGCACTAATATTTAATAGAAACTGTGATCACTTGAGCAATCCACTGTTACAAGTGGATGTCCTAGTTTTTATTGAAATAGGATAATACTATAAGTTATTCAATTTATAGAAGTATAGTTTGAAGTCCCAATATATCTTCCTATATTTACTATATTTGTTTTAATGGAGTGTAATTCTAAATTAGTGTGAAAACATTAGTTTACAGAATTAAACAATTTTAGAACTCTGTCTTTGGTGTACTTTTGCATAGTTAGATTTTTATAAAAATTGACTACATGAGACATCATAAATTATACATTATAAATTATAAATGAAACAAATTGATTATGTGATACAATTTTTAACACAAAATTAATAGGTTTATAAAACAATAAGTTACTTTAAGTAGTCACTATAGCTCATCCAAATATCTAACCTAATTCATAAAGGTTCATATGTTTATAAAACAATAAGTTACTTTAAGTAGTCACCATAGGTCATCCAAATATCTAACCTAATTCACCACATCTTTTTGAGGTGGGGTGTTTTATTAAGTGTAACACTTGTTACACTATATAACTGTCTAGTATCTTCTATCTATCTACTATAATACCTTATTGGAAATGCAGGCAAGAAAAATATTAGTGCTCATCTTAGATTCTTGAAGTATGAATAAAAAATATACAAAAATAAATAATAAAATAAAATTGTATAATCTTAAATAACTGTTTTTAATAAGCTCCAATAGTCAATAGTATAATAATTTATTAACACGAGCATTTAAGTAAGTTGAGTTCTTCAACTTACTCATAGTATATTATTCTGCAGCGTGACTAAATGATCAACTGGTATAACAGCTATTTTCTTCCCACATGTCCATTAGTCCTAATATTTTATAAAAATAATATTGGAAACTGACTGATATTTTCTTGAAGTGGTATGACTATTCCCTTGTTGGGTACTTAAACCGTTCATTTTTTGTAATGGTTGCAGTTGTACTTTCATTTATTGCGACATGTGCCCGTATCCCACGAGCAACTTTTCATTATTGATTTACACAGTGCGAGTGGTTAAATTATTTCCACATACGATTATGTTCAAGTCGTTGTGGCGGGTTTCGTGCAATGGAATTAGTCATGTTACAAGTACGTTTGTGCAGTAGATCTTTGGAGTTATGGAGCGTGTTACAGTTGCCGTGAGCCTTCGGTCATACGTTTGTTGTATGGTAGTTTGCATATATTGCTGCAAAATGCTTTTATTTTTGTGCTAATTAAATTAAATACTAACAATTTTTGCATATTGACCTTCAATATAACATTACATTTGCATTAAACACTATTAAAATATGTATTTTTGTATTATTTTTAATGGAAATCATATCAGCATGAATGTATCTCCTATCTTAGATACTCGCTGCATCTAGACTTTGCGGAAACGTTAGATGGCATTTATAAAAAGAGTATCCCTTCTGATTTTTGTTATGATTGTATGTTTATAAACAAAAATGATTTTATTATAAATATAGAAAGCTGAATAACTTGAACAATGTGTGAAAACTTATAAATTGACTATAATTATTTTAATTAACTTACAGTATAGTCATTACCTTGTGCAGACTAGAGTAACAAGGTTCAGTTAACACTAATTAATTAATTACTTCTTAATGCAATATTGAATGAGAACAGTTGAGATAATTTTTTTTCTTTACTTAATTTCTTAATAACCTAGCTGTTCGCAACATATTAATTTTTTCACGATTTAATAAATTTGTAATCCAAACATGACTATTCACTTAGACACTTTTGAGCTCATTTTAATTATTTTGTTAATTTATCAACAACGAATTCGTGAAAGGAAATACTTCATTTTTTGTTTG